TACGACGGGCTCCACGACAACCAGCGATCCCAAATCCGACCCGGCCGCTCACCGTTCACCTTCTTTCTCGAAACCGCTTCGAGGAGGCAGCTCCAAGAAGAAAGATAGCCTTCTTTCCGCGTCCATTGTGTCATTGAACCGTGGCAAGGATGAGAAGCGCGTGAGCTTTGCCAGTCCGGACACCAGTCCTGCCAAGGGCAAAAAGGACCACAAGCGAAAACCTAGTGGAGGCCAGTAAATGTTATAGACTTCTTTTCTCTTCCTTTCTTTTTACTCAGCTCTTATCACTACTCGCAGGGGCTAGACCTCTCGTCTGTTGTAATGCTATACATCTCTCCCCCGATTCTTGTATGAGACTTTAGGGCCTTACAACTTGTGTTTTACGTGTGACTGTGCTTGACATGGTCCAATTAGTCTGGATGATTCTTAGTGGTTGCATGTTCTAGTTATTATTGGTTTGTGCGATGCAAGACGTTGCAGCTGAGCGTTTCTGGCGATGTTTACGGATGCAACTGACGACTCTCTACTTATACGAGATGATTCTGTATTGAAATAATCAAAGATTTGCAAATTGCCCAACTTATGGAAACGTAGTGTTCGAATGTATCAAGAGAGATAACTTACCGGATGAATTTTTAATACCAAACTTACCACATCTATTTCAGCTCTGATAAGGTGTCATTACCATACCATACCATACCATACCACCACCACCACCACCACCACCGACGACGACGTTTGCCAAACTCAACCTCAGCCAATGAAAGGTTCATAAAACCATCATACATCAACATCTGAAACAAAGATACAGTGACTGGCGATCTAAACAACCAGACATTTCAATAAACAAGTGACTCTAGATTCCCCAACAACCCCATCCAAAACCAGAACACTACCCAACACCCCGCAAATAGAGAACAAGGAAGAGAAGAGAAGACCAAAGAAAAAGGATGAACGAAGAAAGAGAAGACCAAAAACACCAACCCAACACCTCCACAGACTTCCACCCAGGCCACATCACCCAAGATACCTTCCAGGCCCTACTAGCCTGCTACCCGGCCACATTGGACGCCGTGACGCGCCGCAAGGCCACAGACCGCGTTCTCCGAGCCTCCTCCACACGAGGTAAGCGCGCCAAACGCTCGCGCCAGGTGTCTCCTCCTTCTCAGGTAGAGAACCCTGCGCTAGATGAGGAGCAGAAGAAGCAGGTCGAGGCGGAGGTTGGGGCATTCCGGGAGTTGGATGCGCTGAGGTATGAAGGGTTGCCGGGGGTGGTGGTGGTGGCAGAGAAGAGGTGTTTGGAGAAGGAGGAGGTTGTCAAGTTGGTTGAGTGGAAGTTGTGAGTTTTCTTTTTCTTATATCGATTTGTGGCTTGATTTGATTTCACTGGTTAAAATAAATGGCTTGTTAATCCTCGTGTATTAGAAAACATGGTATTTTCCGTCCTGCTTTGCTGGGCATGGTGAAGTCGAATCAAGCGAAGGCGGTGCAAAAAGCTACGTCGGATGCTTTTACGGCAGTCAATACGACTAGGTCTGCCAAGGATGAAGCTGAAGCTGAAACCGGTGACAAGCCAGAGACCACCGACCCGACAGCTTCGTTCCCCAAGTCGAGTCTGGACGCTCTAATGAAACCGCTCCGTGGCGTGGGCATAGCTACTGCGTCGCTCCTCTTATCTGTGGGCACGATCCGTGACCCTGAGCATGAGGCTCCATTCTACAGTGATCATACGTACCTCTGGCTGTGTATGAAAGAGTTCCCGGGACGCGGGACCCGACTCAGCCAGGAGAGCGAAAAGACAGAGGTCAATAAGCTAGGGAAGAAGGCGGGCAAGCTCAAACCGAATGGCGAGATCAATGTCAAATATGATGTCTCGGAGTATCGGTCGTTGTGGGCGGCTGTTAATGAATTGCGGGCGAGGTTGAATGAGACTGAGTCTTCTTTGGGGAAGGTTTCTTGTGCGGATATTGAGAAGGTGGCTTTTGTGTTGAGGTATATTGATGTTTCGGGGTATTTGGAGCAATATGATATTGTGGATGATGATTTACAACCGGCGGATGAGGGTCCTCATGAGGCGGAGGCGAATCCGGGGATTAAGCGGGAGGGGCTTGATAAGGAGGAGAAAGGAGGTCGGAATAGTAAGAAGAAGAAGAAGAAGACGTGACTGGGGGACTGTGGGTTGGGTTATTAGTTGTTTAAACATAGTGATATCCGATGTATTTGTATCTTTTATATGTAACGTTACCCTTACATCTAAACATCCTGAGCACACCTGTGTCTTTTTATCTCTTGTAAGTTTCAACTCCCCCACAGATCAATCAGATAATCTCCCACCGCGAAGAGTAAATTAAGTGAGACGACACTTAACTCCAACCGAAAAGGATCAATTGACGACTCCTCCTCAATGCTTATTTCCTCCCCGTTGGCGCCATTCAAGCGGGCCGGGACCACATCGTCCACCAACGACATCAGCTCTGCAATGCCATCTCCCCACATCATGGCCGTCAGACTTGGCGGGCCTCGTCACCCACGCTGCTCAATTTGCGTCGCCGATGATGAATCCACCACGAACGTTTGGACCGGAGTGGGAACTCGTTTGCTTTCCCCTTTTCCGGTATATTCTGTTACTGGCCGGTGATGCTGGTACGATAGCGTACTCCATATGGTACTCCCCGCAGCTCATCCCCTTGACTCGTAGACGAAGTAAAAAAAAAAAAAAGTATAATCATTTCTTGTAGTATACAAGGTCTTCACTTATCTATCTATCTCATTCAAAAGGCTTTTGATAATGCAATCTCCCTCACATACACATACATAAACAGAAGACATACAGACACAGAACCTCAATGTCAATACACATATACCTATACCCACTCCTCCTCCTCCTTACTACCCTACTAAACCTAACCCAAGCCCTAACATGGCACTCCCTCCTCTACGACACCGGCCTCCTAGGCGCCCATCCCAGAACAAAATACGAATCCTTTGATCTCGCCTCTCCAGAACCCAACATCTTGAAATGGGACCCTCGCTGCGAAGACAAATACGTCTTCTTCAGTCCACGGGGCCATTTCTACCCACACCCGGGCCCATTGATCTTCGATAATAAGGGGAACTTGGTTTGGATGGAGAGTCGGTTTGGTATGGTTATGGATTTTCGGGTTCAGAGGTATCGAGGGGAGGATTATTTGACGTTTTGGACTGGGGAGGATGATGGGACGAGGGGATTGGGGAGGTATTATATGGTTTGTTTCTTCTCTCTCTCTCTCTCTCTCTCTCTCTCTTTCTCTCTTTCTTTTTCTCTCTTTCTTTTTCTCTCTTTGTTTCTTGATCTGGGGAGTGTGAGGGTTGTTAGGGTTATAAGGGGATTGAGTCGAGATTTACTCACTTACTCACTTACTCACTTACATGCATACATACATACATACATACATACAAAACATGCATATATACTAACAATAGAAATATAACCTACAGTTAGACAAAACCTACACCCTAACCCACACCATAACCCCCACCAACAACCTCCGCGGCGACGTCCACGAATTCCAACTCACCTCCACCGGAACAGCCCTAATAACCATCTACGAGATCATCCCATACGATCTTACACCCATAAACGGGTCCCAAAACGGATGGATCTACGATTGTCTCTTCCAAGAAATCGACATCGAAACCGGGTCATTACTCTTCCAATGGCGTGCCAGCGACCACTACAATATCACCGAGACGTATTTCCCGTTAGAGGAGGGAAAGGGAATGGCGAATTCGAGTGAGTCGGCGTATGACTATTTTCATATTAATAGTGTGGATAAATTGGAGGATGGGCGGTATTTGGTTTCGTCGAGGTATATGCATACGGTGACTTGTGTTGGGGGGGATGGGGAGGTATTGTGGGTTCTTGGAGGGAAGAGGAATATGTTTCGGAATTTGGAGGAGGGGTTGGATGTGAGGGGTTTTAAGTGGCAGCATAATGCGAAGTGGGTTACCGGGTCTTCTGGGGATGTGGATGTGGATGTGGATGTGGATGTGATTACGGTGTTTGATAATGGGGCGAATGATCATGTCATGGATGAGGATCATAGTCGCGGGTTGGTGATTGCGGTGGATGTTGGGAATTGGACGGCGACGTTGAAGCGAGTGTACGATGCTCCGGGGGGGTTCAGTGCGCATTCGCAGGGGAATGTACAGGTGTTGGAAGAGTCGGGGAATGTGTTTGTTGGGTGGGGGAAGGCGGCGGCATATACCGAGTTCAGTGCTGGTGGAGAGGTGCTCTGTGATACGCATTGGGGTCCCCAGATGTTCTTCCCTCTGGGCTGGGTCAAGTCGTATCGGACGTATAAGGCAGGCTGGGTTGGGAGACCTGTCATGCCGCCAGATGTGGCGGTGGATGGGGGTTTGCGGACGGTGTTTGTTAGTTGGAATGGGGCAACGGATGTGGCCGGGTGGGTTTTGCAGAGGGTGTGGAATTCTACCGAGGACGAGTTTGAGACGGTGGATTATGTGCCCAAGACCGGGTTCGAGACGGCCATTGAGATGGATGAGAGGGCTGGGTCTTGGAGGTTGGTTGCGGTGGATTTCACCGGCGAGGAATTGGGCTATACGGAGGTGTTTTCTCTGGACCATTCGGTATGTTTGCCTCTATTTGGTGATCTAAGAAGGGCTGGTACTGACACGTCCTATCTATAGGATTCTTGGATTCTCTCTTCGGCGTTGGCGGGAGATGATGGTCTGCTGTATATGCTTATCCCTCCGTGTATGGTAGGAGCTGCACTGGCTGCTCTGTGGCAGACCAGGAAGAGGATTGCAATGGGGCTGCGGTATCTTGCTTCTCTACGGGCTCGGCAGTTTTATTGATTCCGTTTTAGTTTCTTGTTTGGTTTGTGTTCATCTGATACCCTACGCATGGAGAGCGTGATGTATATAGTACATACACAGGTAGATAGCTCCCTTAAGACAAATTGAAAACGACAAAGCACTTTATGTCTGCGATACGGAACTCAATATGTTTATAATTACATTGATTGAATCATACACTAATAGACATACATTAAACCAGATATCCTTCCATCAATGCGACTTGCGCATCGACGTGATTACTATTAGATATTATCATAGATTCCTCGACTTAAAGCTGAAGCAATCAAAGGCCCAGAACCCCCAGTACAACACCCAGCATCAGTCCCCCCTCGACAGTCCCGAATGCCGCTGTAGGAAGAGAAGCAGCACCCGTCGACGTACTAGTCGAGGTGGTAGTAGAGGAGCTGGTCTTCTTTGTTTCCGTCGCCGAAGAGGTCGAAGAGGCGACCTTTGTTGACGACGAGGGGAGAGCCTTCGCTGCGTTGCAATAGACTTGTTGCTTTTGCCTTTCAGGGGTGCTCTGTGTAGAACCAGGGCAGTTGTTGAAGCATCTGTTCATGCCGATCCATCTATTAGCTATCTGTAGCGTTATACAGGAGTGTTGAACAGGAGCCAATGTGCTTAAACTCACGTAACAACGTTGCCCTGCTGTTCACACAGGCATCTCCAATCGTTTACTTCGCAACTGTTCACTTGTTCCAACATTCGTGATTTACAATCATCCACGATGCTGTTCAAATATTCCAGGTCAAAATCTATACATCTGACTAGAAAGGAGCAGGCTGTGTGACATACTTCTGAGCAGCACACTTCGTCTCGGTCGAAGTTGTTGTCCCCGCAGTAGCAGTGGCCTGGGCCTGTGCCGCTGCAAGCAAGGGGAGGGATCCTGCCAGGATGGTGGTGAGGAGTGTGGCACGCATGTTTCTGTTTTGGGTGTGTTTATTGGTAGTTGGATTGAGGGTTAGGGCAAATGCGGATGGAATATAGAGAATATGTCGTCACGAGACAGTCCTTGGACAAGAGTACACACAATGTAACAAAGAAAAAAAAAAAAACCAAGGGAGAAGGGACAGCTCAGCTCTTAAATCAAACACGACGATGATCTGAGCGTCTTCCCAGAAAGTGAAAATGAGCGTGGGCATCATCTGCAGAGCTCTCATCTGTAAGACATGACACCCACCAAGTGAGAAAGGGTGGTGGATATGGGAGACTCTTGCATCGAACTATATCAGCCACCCCGAGGGATTGTTTTCCATTAAGCGACATGAATGGTCCACAGCACTGACAGGGTTTGTTAGTGGGTAATTGTCTCAGGGTCAATTTTCAATAATATCAACCTAGCAACCCTATCGGGTGACATTTCCTACGATCATTTATATACAATAGGGACATTTTGATCCCAACTGCTGGATGGGGTGGACGTAGTCGGTTGAGGCATCAAATCTCGTCTCGTCTTCCCCTTCTTAGTTTGCAATTAGGGACGGTCTTCTATAACGAGTTCCTCAATTGATTCTGTACAGTTGAGTGTCTATCAACTAGCGGTGACTAAAAAGGGTTCAGGAACTAAGTCCAATAGTTGGGGACGATGTATCACTTCCTCTATCTCCACGTCTCTAAAATCAGACCGGTCACATGCGGCCACTAGACAACACAAACCCTAAAACCGGATACAGAATATTAAACCCTCCTTAATGTAAAGAATCTCCAGATTCAAGTCAGCTCGTTATCCATAGGACAATAATACAGAATATATACAAAGCCACCACTCTGAAAGTAACGAAAGAAGAATAGAGGGGAAAAAAAAAATTCATATAGTCTGCTCCAAGCCGCATGCAACAAAACGAAGACCACGAACGAAGGGGGAATATGGGATGATGCCAAAGGGACACAAGCCGGTGGAGATCACGAACATGCGCATGCGCCCTCTCAGTCGCGTTGGTTTGCATGCCGTCCGCGCTGCACGCGGCGGCGGAATTAATATACTCGTATGCAAAATATCTTGTCTCGGAATGGAACAAAACATGCATCTACTCCTGTCCGAAACCTAACGTCTCCTCCACTGCAATCGAGAGTTTATGCTCAAGCACATCATTGGTCTTATACGGAGGAAGATCAAGACGGTTGAAGCTACAAGAACAGTCAGCTAAGCATTCGCGGATGGCTATAACGCAGAGGGGAAACGTACCATGTGTGGGACTTGGGTAGCGCCCCCGGATCGCCAGACTTCTCGATGGTGAACCGTCTCGGCCCGTCGGAACCCTGCAGGTCTTTGAACCCGTTCACTGGGATACGGGATGTACCGGTAGTGAACTGAAGCAGACGGGACTTCTGTTCCGCATCCCAGCTGCGGACAATCTTCCAGAAGTTCTGGATCACCTCATCCGACTCCTGGTAGCCACGGTAATCGGTGTGCTTCTTCCAGTCATCAACGTCAATGTCCGCAATACCTCCAATCAGCAATTCCAATTCCCGCTCATCGAAGACGTTGACCAAATCAGCAGGGATCAGTTCATTGAAGCCTGACATGAAGGCGTTGAACTGCTCCTCAACCCGTTTCACAATCTTCCACTCAGTGACCAACCTGATCCAGTGTTAATTAATTTCTCCCCACTCGCTCCTCACTGGAAAGCCAAAAAACTTACTCAACGTATTCTCCCTTGTTTTCGTTGGTAACAGGAATATCCCGACCACCCGGCTTGAGGTCGATCGTGCGGCGCTCTCCGAACTTCTCGTCATCAACCGCGAACGTTAACTCTATAATGCCCTCGATATCGTTATCCCTATTGATGATCAGCAGGAGCTCTTGACATATGCCTCAGGATACAGGGCCACAGGAACGTACAAAGTCCAAGTCAGATTGCGGTGCAGATCCTCATCAACACCCTCCATATCTTGAAGCGACACCTTCTTCCGGAGCATCATCTTGTAGAACGCTCCAATAAAGAATGAGTCAAGGAAACGGCGGTGGAAAATGGCCAATCCAACAACACGTCCAATGAACTTGAAGTAGTTCAGATGCTCCGGATTAACGCCCGAATGAGGATTAATTTGCAGAGTATAATTATCATGTGCGGAGTATTCGAAAAGACAATAGAAGGGGTTAAACATTTCGTGAGAGAGAAGGAAAAAGAATTCACTTGGGCGCCATTAGCTTTGAGCAGTTCCTCACAATCGGCAGGACTACTTACCGGGACAGACCACCATAATCCAACCCGTCTTCACCGTCAAATTTAATCATCAAGCGCTTCTTCAGATCTGAGGCACTCTGCCGCATGATCTCGGCGTAGGAATCCTCGAAGATGTTGTTACGTCGTACCTTGACGTGGCATTGTCCGGACATGATTCGCAAAGCGGGCTGTGACCGGAAGTAGATCAATTTACGTCTAAAGTCACGCTTGTACTGTGGGACGCCTTGATCCAGGGACGACGGCAGACGGGGATCGTCCCAGGTGGTCGTCTTCGTGTTGTGGTCGACGAAGTACACACGTGCAGTATTCGTCAAGCGCATTTCCCAACCACTGGGCAACGGCCCCAGTTGGGACACTGGCTGCTGTTGAATGGTGGTATTGGTGCCGTTGGCATTCTGGCCATACATTCGGATGTACTGCTGTCGTCGCGGATCCACCCATGTCGTGGTGCGAGTGTTGTGGTCGACAAAATAAGGCCGTCCTTCGGGGGTAGTCCGTTGCTCCCATCCCGGTGGAAGCTCGCCAGTGCCAGCGGTGGTCGCTCCTGTAGCCATCATAGAAACAGCACTGGCGCTGCCACCGGCCGGCGGGGTCTGAGCCTGTTGCTGATTCTCCTGCAGGTTGGGTGAGCTCGCACCGGTACGATCCTCCGGGAGCATACGACTTTGGTGGGCTCTCCGCTCAAGCTGCATACTGGCCTCCCGCTGCGTGCGTGACGTTTGCTCGTTGTAGTTGTTTGATGGTCGGGTCCAAGTGGTCGTCCGCGTGTTGTGATCCACATAGTATGTCCGTCCCAAATTGTCCTCTCGTCGCTCCCAGCCGGCTGGCAGTCGTCCTTGGCTATCTTCGAACGAACTAAGATTTGTGCGAGAACCTTGCTGACCATTGGGCGGAGCAGGCGGGCCATTGGCAGGTACAATCGTACTGTTAGGCCGAGTAGTTGATGGGACACGCTGAGGGTGGAGAGATGGATTCGACGCAGTCGGGTCAGCTTGACTTGGGCCGGGAGACGGCTGCGGAGTCGATGCCGATACCTGTGGCACAAGCCCGCTAGAAGTTGATTGCTGCATATGTGACCGGTGTAAGCCGTTTGCTTGGTTGGTATTGGGTGTGCTCAGGTTGGTGGAAAGATTGATGATGAGTTTGCCATGCACGACAAGATTGTCGTTGGACTTCTTCAAGTCTCGAGTGAGCATCTCTGTAGCGCACGAAGTGATGATGTCAGTTGAGACACTTTCACACACGGGACAAACCTTTAGAAGATGACGACAGTTGACTCGCAGAGCAACTTACCATCACCGCCCATTTGCAAATCTATCACATCACCGATCCGTACATTGATCACACCGAGGAACCCTTGGTCCTTCTTCTTGAATTTCTTCTGGTCAAAGATCTGGATAGCAAGGATGCTATCTTCATTTACTCGCCTGTATTGTAGTATTGATCAGTATGGAAACGTCGAAGCTTGACCGGGAAGGCATACAGATCAAACATCTCATTCCAGTAAGGGTTCAATGTCTTTTTGATGACAGAGGTTGTATGGGTTTGTTCGCCCCCCACAGTGGCCACAGCGAACGGATCGGGGAATCCTGTATAAATGAAGGTATTAGTGAAACTTGTAAAGGCGATGGTGGATAATTTAAGATCATATGAGCGGGACATACGGAAGACATCTCGTTTATATAGTCCATCCGCCGCGATAACTAAAGAAGAAAGAAAGTCAGTAAACTCTTCGCTCTTTTCCTCTCTATGTAAGAATGACTGATAGTTCTCCCCCATTCCTGGATGTCTTACTTGTAACCCTGAGGTTTGGCTGGCTGCAAGTCATTGATTCGTTAGCACACCCTCGCTTTCAACCCACGAGAACTTTTTCTCTTCTTGCTTTGGACGTGATAGAACTTCTTATTAAAAGGAAAGGAGCTTCCGGAGAAGACTTACGCGGGCAGATTGGAACCCATCCTGTACTGTAGAAAGGGAGCGGGCAGTACACGCCTCTGGGTGCAAAACGGCCGATCAGGACAAGCCTAAAAGGTAATTCGCGGCGTGCGCATCCACCACAAACCACAGACTGCACACTAGGCAGGAATCGAAAGATCGGGAACACAGGTCGGCCGTAGATCGAATGACAGAAGCGGTGGTGTGAAGTGGAGAGGGGAGGGAGGGGGTGAAACCGGAGCGAGATTGATGATTGATGCAACGGAGAAAACTAAAGATGAGTTGAGGTTTGGCGATAACGGGGAGACTAAGCCTGAAGTTGGAGGCGCGGGCAACTTTTGGGGCTGAGCAAACCAAAGACGGTCCTTGACGTTGCGCTGTACGAACCAATCACCTTGTGACGAGGGGCTTTCTTCCGACCAGACGAGCAGCGCGCGGTTGATAGACTTGATTTCCGTTTGGCTCTTTTAGGGACCGTAGCGCGGGTGTGAGCGGATCGTGGCGAAGGAGGGGAGGGGGGTAAATAATTAAAAATCTCAGGCAAAAAAAAAAAATGAGGAAAAATAAAAATTATAGAAATATTCGAGTGATATTGTAAACGTCAATAATACATAAATAAGCATTCTGTAATATCATTCCTGAGGTTCCTCCAGCCAAATATATCGGTAATCATCATGTAATAATATACTCCGATCCATTTCGTTTCACTGGAAACAATACCAGCAAAAAAAAAAAAAATAAAAAAGAAAAGAAAACTTATAAAAACCACTTCCAACTTTCCTCATTCCATCTAAAAATTACCGGTGACTGAAAGAGACGAGTACTGTGTAGTATCCATGTACATATTTTACTGTACAGCTAGTGGTTCATAGAGTCATCCCAGATCAGGAAAATGGAAAGACCGATGATAGGATACCTGAAACCTAAGGTGTCAAAGCCGGCGGCTAACCAAGATTCCAGAGGCCATAACGCCAAAAGCAGCAACCCCGCGTGCTTAAGTTCCCATTCGACTGGAAGAAACGTTTCGCCCGTAGCCCAAGCCAAGCATTTAGTGGCTTTCCCGTAAGGCAACAAAATTTATTCCTCTATTTTTATATTGACTTTTGGTACTATGTATACTACTCTCCAGTCCCTCTTCAATCATTACCCCTTATTGTCATCGTTTAGGAGCATACTCGGAGTACAGACAGTACGACGGATTATAGGCAGTGGGGCGCACTGCTTCAGTTTACCTACTTACCAGGTTCATCGCCATGGTTTGATCCTTAAACGTCGCAATCACCCCGTACATAGTACCTAGCTCCGTATACATCGTATCCTTACCCCCCCCCCACACACACACCACACCACACGTGAAAAATAAATAGAGGGAGACAACATAGTGTTTTCCATTGACCCTGTAAGATATGCTTTCAAAAAATGACGATGATCCTAACGAAATCAAAATAAAAAAAAAAAATAATAAAAGAAACCCCAGTAGAATATGGGTGATATCATAGAAACAAGCGGAATCCATCCATCCTACCGGTTGCCAGATGGTTATCATACAGTACATTCCATCCCCAACTCCAAAGTATTCTCCATGAAATCAGAGAAACCTCACGATTTATCGATTTAATGTGGACGTGTTCGGCCGTATTCCTCTTTCACTTGACTCGTTCGAGCTCGCTTGCTCTTATCTGCGAACTATTCGCCCTCGGCGTGGCGGCATACGTTGCATGCATTTTAGTAAGGTGCATAGCCCCGACCCCGGCCACCACGATAGCCTCCGCGGTAGCCTCCCCGAGGGGGATAACCGCCACGGAAGAAACCCCGGCCTCGGAAGCCACCTCGTCCGCGACCTCGAGTCATGCCGGGCACGTTGGTACGCTTGGGGACAACCTGTGTGCGTGTTAGGTGAGGAAACGGCACTGGGCACAAGAAGTAGACAAGGGGACCAACCTTAAGGTTCCTGCCACGGAAAACACTCTCATTTAGAACAAGTGCCTGGGCCACCAAGCTAGGCTCTGCAAACTCTACATATGCGTACCTGTGCCACAAGCGTCAGCATTCGCAACAGAAGTTGTATTCATAAAGGTAAGGAGGAGCAGAAAAGGAGGGAGGAGACAGTCCCAGAAGGCTGGCAAAGTGGTAACGCACCCTTTCGGCTGACCCGTGAACTTATCCAGGAGAATAGTAACACGGTTTATTGAGCCACAGCTCTGGAAATGCGCCTGAATCTCCTCCGGGGAAGCACCGTAGTCAACGTTGCCGACGAAAATACTCCGCGCATCGATCTCTTCCTTATCTTCCCGCAGGTTCTCGGACTGTTGATCAAGGGTGGCTTGCATCTCGCGCAACTTCGCCGCCTCAGATTCCATTTCGGCTACCCGTCTCTTCATCGCCGCAATCTCTTCCTATAGACGAGACCACTGTGTTAGTTGGACTGATACAATTAGAGTAACCATTGTGATAAAGCAAAGGCGATGCAGAAACACCAGAGTTGAGCTTCCGGTCTTCAATCTAGCTTGAGCTTCTTCAGCTTCAAGGAACAAGCTTACCTCATCATCAGCCCCCTCTTCCTGATGCTGCAGACGCTCATCTTTAACCTCGTTCTCTTCAGGATTCATTATGGAAGTAATCTTGGGATGCCTCCTCTTTTCTATGTTCAACCCGCGGAGTCAAGGAAAAACTCAAGTTGTAACGGCACCTCCCCGACTGCTAGCGGAGCGGAGTGGAGCAAGAGCTCTGGGAAAATATAATATCCGACAAATGCAAAGCTTTTTAAAGATTGGGGTAGAGGAAGTCTAGATTAAAATGATTGAAGAGGTAAACAGAATGCCCTGCAACCGGTGATTGGAGGTAGACGGCCCGTCGTAGTAGGTCACAAATGGTTATGCTCGTGTTTGATCGACGCCGAAGTCACTGCTGCTCTTTCCGGTTAGCGACTTTTGTCATCTGAACCTTCACGGGCAACGAACTTCACCCAAATCCAGTCTCAAGTACAAATACCCTCTCGTAACCGTCGCAAAGCAAAAAGGTTATCCACCTTTGTCACAATTCCATTTAGGCTTCAAAACTAACTAGCTACTTTCGCTGGTTTTATTTTTGATTTCTTTCTTATCTTTTCATCTTTCTAATTCATAGAAAATCGTAAAACAATGCCACCCTCCTTCCTAAAGCCATGTGGCTGTAACTGCGCAGTAACACAATGCGCGCGGAAGTAATCAGCACTATAGAACTTGGTAGAATAATTCGGTTCAGTATTTTACAACTATCGGAGCAACAGGAAGATCAGATACTAGTAAGCGATTTTTCATCTGGGTTTAGAGTACACTGGCAGAAGGGAACCAATCCAGGCAGCTCATAAGGGACTGGAAAAATTCGTTCCATCATCAAATTCAATGCGTAGGTCAGTTGGGGAAAGCTAGGTTAAATTCAAGTCACATACAATTAGGAGGTCATAATCGTGGCTGTTTCTATGACATATATACAAGCAGATATTACGAAGCGTTAACTCATGATTGAACGGAGTTCTTGCGGAAGGAGACCTTTTCGACCGCGACGGTTTCAACACCATTGGCGTCTGTCTTGAGTTGGTAGACATACAACACAAGGACGTCACCTTGAATCTGGGAAAATGTTCAGTATGGGTGAAAGAAAAAGAGTCGCATGGAAGTGTTAGGGTCTCGACTCACGTCCATCAGACAAAAGCTAGGCGTTGGTTCCTCTCCTTCGGGCCAATACCCGGTACTCAGTGCGCCCGTTGCACTTCCTGGGGTGATAAAGAACCTTCCCTCCATTTCAAAGGCATCGAAGCGGTGCGCACCACCCCATAGTAATATATCAACATCCATCTGACGTGCGGCGATAAGCAGGGCTTCGGCGTCACCCGGCGGGATGATGGTGTGGCCATGGGTAAGACCAATACGGAGGCTTCCGTGGGTCACCACTTTTGAGAGGGGTAGATTGGGAGAGTCGACATCGAAATCACCCTTGACCAATTGCAGATCGGGAGCGATACCACGGAGGAATTCAAATGTACTTCGGTCGGTCAGGTTGCCCAGACAGAGAATCTGGCCGATCTTGCCTGGCGTTAAGAGTTTCCGAAACTGCGACAGTTAGTTCGGATCGGTTTGCACAGTAGATTGTTGCCGATTGACGGGTGATTGAGTGGCGCGCACCTTAGCTGGAAGATCCTAGAGAAAGTATGTCAGCTAATTGAGAGAAAATGTAGAGAAACAGGCATTTTCAGTACCGGAGCTCTGTCAGGAATAAAGAGGTCACCAATGACCAGAACAAGACGCGACGTCATCCTGGAGAGAGGAACTAGCAACTCAACAGCCCATTCCAAAGAAACCTGTGGTTATGAGGCAAAGTAGTTACCTGCAAGCGTACAGGATAACGGGGACCGCCAGTGAACTAGTAGTTAAGGTTACGTATGGTTATTTGGTGCTCCGTCGACTCGATGGAGCTTCGCGGGGAAAGCTCACTGATGCCTGACGCCGATGCCGCGGTCCTCGAGCCCTAAGCCCTATCACAGTGACAGGGATGGTTAGCCTGGCACTCTTATCAGGCGTACATAATGCTATACTATATTTGGACTAGTTATGTTATTCTCCGTCCATAATCATACTTTTGAGTATCATTCGGTATTTGATGCCGTGCTGATCGACTTACCACCTATCACTCTATTGAGTGGGCCAGACATACTGTGTGTGATTTGATACTCATTCCACTATGACTAGGGTACTTGCTTGCTCTTGGCGATATACTTTAACCAACAAATCAGTTGTTGAATCATTGCGGAAGTCATAATGTCCTACCAGTATACAATCTACTGCGTTGCTTTGAGTCGTCCACTCGCCTGTGAGTTTGTGCTAGTACTAGGTACATAGATAACCTGTGCTAGAAGTCACTGTCTGACCATTGAGCTTTCTGAGAAGGCTTTTGGGGCAAGTCTTTTGGGGGCTGAGACTTTACCAATTCCGTAGATATCCATATGACATGAACCTTGACTTAGAGAACACATTTGAGTCTAAGAATCAGATACAGTCTAGGATATCTGGTTGGTGTACTCCATACATTATTTTGAAATGGGGTATATGCAATTGTGTTCTTGGGTTGGTTTCTTCTAGTGTCATTAGTATGTGTCCTACGACCATGGATATATCAGAACTATGTGTTGATATAGTATACGTATATACTATCATGATAAATAAATATATAATTTCTCCGCAGCATACGGGATCATTCTAACAGTTTAAACCTAGACATAACAATCAAACAGGATGTTTTCATCCCGGTCCGAGTTCTTATTACTCGATCGATAGTTATAATATGAGTCAATTGCGGTGCCCATCCCAAATCCCAACAAAAAACCCATCCGAAGGCCCCAAAAGGTTCTCCGCAGTGCGGAGGTAAACGTACGGAAGGCTCCGCCCGTGTTAAGACGGACATTAATTCCATTACGGCCGATAGAAAGGGGAGGAAAGGGAGGAAGGGTTAATAATCTTAGGACCCAAAGAAAAATTTTATAGATCAATTGCCCTATAAAAGTACATCCCTACATCTATCTTTGTTTTTTCTTTCTTTCTTTCTTGTATAGGATATACAAAACAATCTACCAATAACAAGACTTCTTTGATCCCGATCCATCTTCTTGGTTGTCTCCGGCGATCCCCGAATTTCTCCCCTCACCCCAATTACTCATTATTATCACGTTCACTTTTTCGTTTCTGCTACCCCGCGGACTCTCGGCGTTGAGAGCCGAACTTTCGGAAAAGCTGGCGAGCAAACGGACGACGCAGCGGCTTAGTCTGATTTCCAGGCACCTGGATCAGCATTTACCGTTGCCCTTCTCGACCGAGAGAGACTCCCACGATATCGAATATAAACCCCTCGATCGCACCGATCTCTCGACCACTCTTCCTTCTGCATCTCTTTCGCAACCAGAACCCTCCTCTCCCAAAATGTCGTCCCAAGCCCCTCACCCCACCTTGTTGATTCCCGGACCCATCGAATTCGATGATGCTGTCCTTCAGTCTATGGCCCACTATGCGTGAGTTCACCCGTCATGGTCAAGTAGCCATTGACCCCTCCATACTGATGCTTTTCTCGTAGTGAGAGCCACGTCGCCCCTGGCTTTGTCAAAACCTTTGGAGAGACATTGACCTTGGTGCGCAAGCTCTTCCAGTCTACCAACCCCGCCGCCCAGCCCTTCGTCATCTCCGGTAGCGGCACCCTCGGCTGGGACGTCGTTGCCTCCAGCTTGGTCGAGAAGGGAGAGAATGCTCTCGTCCTGCACACCGGCTACTTCGCCGACTCCTTCGCCGCATGCTTGACAACATACGGCGCGAACGCAACACAACTCAAGGCACCCATCGGAGAGCGCCCATCGTTCGAGGACATCGAGCAGGCCCTGAAGGAGAAGACCTACAAGATCATCACCATCACCCACGTCGACACCTCGACCGGTGTGCTCAGCGACATCAAGCGCATCGCCGAGATCGTTCGCCGCGTCAGCCCCAATACCCTGGTGGTTGTTGACGGTGTCTGCAGTGTCGGCTGCGAGGAGATCGCCTTTGATGAATGGGATCTCGACGTTGTCCTGACTGCCAGTCAGAAGGCCATCGGTTGCCCCCCCGGCCTCAGCATCCTGATGACCTCTGGTCGCGCCATCGACGTCTTCAAGAACCGCCAGACTCCCCCCGCTTCATACTACTCCTCCATCGGCAACTGGCTCCCCATCATGCAGAACTACGAGAACCTCAAGCCCTCCTACTTCGCTACCCCACCCACCCAGTTGGTTCACGCCCTGCACACCACTCTGTCCCAGATCACCTCCCGGCCCATGGCTGAGCGCTTCGCCGTGCACACCCAGGCCTCGGACCGTGTCAAGGCTGCTGTCGCCGAGCTCGGCTTGAAGCAGCTGGCCGCGAAGCCAGAGAACCAGGCCCACGCCATGACCGCCATCTGGCTGCCCGAGGGTCTGGCCCCACCAGACGTGCTCCCCGGACTGCTGAAGCGGGGCGTCATCTTTGCAGCGGGTCTGCATAAGGAGGCTGCGACCAAGTACATCCGGTTCGGACATATGGGCGTCAGTGTCTCCGATCCTGCCCGCAAGGACATTGACAACGCTATTGCTGCTCTGAAGGAAGCCCTGACGGAAGCCAAGCAGGCCAAGGGACTGTAAATGATGATACCTTCCATATTTTACGAATTTAAGCAGAGATGAAAAATGAAAAAACAAAATTAAAATATAATATACCATATTAAGAGTACATTCTCCTGCGGTTATCCGATCTATATCTTAGTAGCGGTTTTTGACCTAGTGAAGATATGTATATGAAATATTGTAGACCCAATATCCTAATTAACGGTATGTCCCGAACACAGATTAACACAGTAACCCTAGCCCCTCTTCAACGAATGTGTCCGATTATACGGTAAAGCTCACTCAGTGCTGTTGCAACCTGAGGTGTTTGTTCCACAGGTCAGCCAATAGGATGATGCTCCGAGTTAGCGGTAGTGTTCCCGATCGGTTACAAATAAGAAATATTACATTAGGTACAGTACTGAATTGGTAGGGTAACTGGGATATCCATAGATGCCATGTTGAGTGTTGACTATATATAACGACTAGTGGCTCATGCTTTCCTACTACCAACAGAGGAAGCACATGAGATATGATAATGATATGTATAATGATGGTCCTGACTCGTAACATCCGTCCAACTTGAGAGGTAGATAAAAAAAAAAAAAGGAACAAAAACAATGCAACAAGGAAGGGAAGAAGAGGGGGGAAATTACAAGAACATAAGTAAGTGTGACAATGATAAGTAAACGGAGGAGGGTATGAAGTAGTAATGCTACTGGCA